GGCTTTTTTAACAGCATAAATGAGGTTGTAGATGGGCCCATTATATTTTTAACGTTTTAAAAGATAAGTGTTTGTCATTGTTGACCAAATAAAAGATTTGGGATAAATCCTTGAACACATTCAGTTGCCCACATTTGGATTTCTGTTTTGGTCTGTCTGAGTATAAAATATTTATTATTTTGTTCAGTTTTATGTTAATACCTTTATATTCTCTTGTGCATTGTGATACTGAAGAATATAAACTAACACTCGGTCTTGTATTTCTCCTTAACCTTACTTAATAATCTCTGAAGTAAAATGATAAAATTTTTTTGTATTTTAGGCATTTGACTTTGTCACAAAACGATATGGCAGCGTTAACAGGAGGAAAGGTAATTCACTTAAATAAGACCGTTGTAAGCCTCAAAAATACGTACACATGTATGTGTACATATGTAATTGTAGACAGTATACTAATATCTTATAATTTGTTGCAGGGTTTTCCTTTTTTGTTTCAACATATCCGTGATGGTATCAACATCAGGCAAACTTGCAATCTCATTTTCAGTTTGTGTCGGTACAATAATCGACTCGCAGAACATGTAAGTGTCAGAAACTATAGCTATTTGTTGAAAATCTTATCTAATAAGTGTAATGGGGTGATTTTTATTACTTTAACTGAATAAGCACAAGTCTAAGTGAGTTTTGTTTGTTTTGTTTTTAAGATTGTGTCCATGCTTTTCACATCTATAGCAAAGTTGACTCCTGAGGTATGTAAACATACTACCTGTATATTAAATAATTTGTATTAATATTTTTCTGTTTTAAATTACTTAAATAATCCTTTGCTAATCAAAACTCTTGCATGGAAGATGATCCATGGAAGTTTTTGTGACATTAAATGAAGTCTAACTGCACTGTATATTAAGTTTTCTAAAGCAGAATTCTCGTATGCAGTTTAAGATGAAAGTTTTATTCAAAGCCAAATAACATATATCTAGATTCTCCACCTATATGAATTAAAAAAGAAAATTGGTAACAATAAAATGTGTATGCTAGAATAAGTGGAGATATGTAATTATTGTCTGGTTGTTCAAGTTTTGGGGCACTATTTTGCAGTTCTGTGCATGCAAACACATTTCTCAGTCAGAATAAATTTCTGCCCTGGTAATAACAAAAATACTGAGAGTTCCAAATGGATTCCACATGAAAAATTATATATAGAGTGGAGAAGTGGATGCTCACACAAGGACATTCTTGTATACTGCTGTCAGAAAAGAAAAAATAATCAGGAAAAATTGAGGGCATGTCTAGCAGAGGAGGCATGATCATGGTTGGAAAAGCAGCACATACTAAATCATTCTCATGACAGCTTTGCTTTGTGTGATAGAATGGGCACTATCAGATGACAGTCTACTTCCCTCCTGTCATGCTAACATTTGCTACATTTTTATGCTTTTTTTGCTTTGCACGTATACACGTGCACCAGAGAGATTTTTGGTGAGGTGCAATATAATAATAATTGTAAGCACTTTATTGAAGCATTGTGAAAAGCTCGGTGAGTCTTAGCACACTTAAAAAAAAAAAATAAAAATCCATATTAGTTCCAACATGTTAGAGTAGAAGAGTTGGTGGGTTTGGAGGAAAACAGTATGCCAATAATAATGATCAGTGTAAACCCTCAAAATGTGATGGTTTTGGATAAACGTCTCAGGATCCATGTTATGCAAATACATAAAAATAATAGCTTCTCTGAGACAGTGAAGTCTTCTATATATGTAAAACAGGATAAACTGGTGAATTCTTCAGGGCTATGCAGCTTGATTCCCCCCCCACCCCCCACCC